AAAATTCAAGTATCTCATATTTTCATGTTTTGGACTATTTTGTAAAATGATGATATTTTTCATTTGGGAGGTCCTTTCTGATAACCAGTCACTGTAGCATGTTTATTATCATGTCTACAATCATTCCCCAAAGTTTTATATTTTTTAGAATTTATTTGATATTTTTAAACAGCACTTTAAAATCAGCAAAACAGTTTTTTGAATATGTCAGTTTTCGGTCGACCGAACCGGTCGACCGATCATTTGATCTTTCTTCACTGGGCGACAGAGAGTCTGTCAGTCGACCGGTCCGGTCGACCGAAAGCTCCATCGGTCGACCGCACCGGTCGACCGACGATGTCTCTGCTTGTTTGTTTGTTTTTCATGCTCTCCGTCGGTCGACCGACGAAATTTCCGGTCGACCGACTATATGACCGTTGCTTTTTGTCATTCTTCGTATTTTTGCTCTCTGTAGCAGTATTACTGTAGCCGGTCGACCACACCGGTCGACCGACATAGTCTCTGTTTGTTTCGTTGTTTTCAGATCTGCTCGCGGTCGACCGGATTTTCCGTCGGTCGACCGAATTCTTTCTTTTGGTCGACCGAACGTTCTGTCGGTCGACCGCCAATAGATCCGTTAGACACTAACAGCTATTTTTCTGAGCTGTCTTCTGGGGACTTTTTTGTCTTTTTGTTTGGGTTTTTGACTGAGTTTTGAGAGGGTATAAATACCCCATTGCCTTTAGCTCTCCAACCAACTAAGAGAGTTTTAAAACAAGTTTAAGAAAGTTTTAATCAAGGGTTTAAGTTTGTTTTTAGTGTTTGTTTAAAAAGCTTTTAAGCATTTACAAGAGTTTGATTTGTGGAGCAAATTTCACAAGAGCAAGTAGAGATCATCTTTGGTGTTTGAGCATTCATTCTTCTCCCTCTCTCTTGTCATCTATAGAAAAGTTTCCTTAAACTCAATTCTAGCATTTTATAAGTTTGTTCTTAATTTCATAAGCTAGATTTCATATTGAGTTTATATTGTTTTATCTCTTTGTTCACACACAACCTATTGAGCTTATTGTATTTACATTCATAGTATAATTTAGGGTTGTGGGTTTGTGACTAAGAGTTGTGCTTAATTGAGTTCTCACCTTATTAGAGAGAACAATCATTTGTCATATTGTGCCTAATTGTGAGGATCCACTTGTAATACACTTGTACATCGAGAGAAGTGTGTGGTGAGAGACGGGGTCGAATCCAAGAGGAGTGGCGTCGGTTGACGTGCCTAGGGAGAGGTTGTAACCGAGCACTTGAGGAGGAGGACACGGGCTAGGACCAACACTTAGTGTGTGAGGTGTGATTACATAGTGATTGTATTGTGAGGTGTAAACGTTGTTCGGGTGAACGTAGAAAACCCAGTTGTAATAGTGGAGATCTCCTCGAGGTGAGGAGCGGAGACGTAGGTCGTGGGGACCGAACTCTGTAATCATATTATTTGTTTGTGATTGCATTGGCGCGCTTACTTTTATGTTCATATCTTATATCGCCTTTGTATATTGCTTGTTGATTATATTGCCCACTATCCTAACAAGAACGAGTTTAAAACTCTATGAAAGAGTTAATTAAGATCTAACCGAATTCGGTTTTCATGCCAAGGAAGAAAGCTCCAAAGATCCAAGGATCTGAAGTCTTTAACAAAACCAAACTTCCATTGAATGCCGAAGATCTCTGGTCTTGAATTGCCAAAAGAGCTTGATCTTTAATCACCCAAAAAGTTCTTGTCGAAGCTCCTTCCAAAAGCCCTTTTCGGCTTCTAGAGAATCTGACCCTATTTATAGGGTTTAAGGGGTGTAACTGTCCCCCTTAAATCACTCCTCAATAAGGGCTTAATAGGGTGTAACCGTCCCCATAAATCTCTCCATATTGGGGTATAACCACCCCCCCCTTAAGTGGAGAAACGGTTTTGAAACTGTCTAGGTTCTGTTTGAACCAGTCAAAATACGAAATTCGTGTTTTGGAAACGACCTCTGCATCTTGAACTTGGAACGCAGAAGTGAGTTTCGCGTTTTGGGCTTGAGACACGATGATGAGCTCTGCGTCTTGTGCTTGAGATGTAGGAATAAACTCTGCATCTTGTGCTTGAGATGCAGGAATGAACTCTGCGTCTTATGCTTGAGACGCAGGAATGACCTCTGCGTCTTGTGTCTGGAACGCGGTCATGAGCTCCGCGTTTTGCTTTGAAGAGATCATCAACTTGTACTCTCTTCTGTTAGAGCGTTATGAAGATTATCATCTTGTAATCTTTGTATTGGCTATTTGAACAGTGAGAGTCGTCAGTTGTAACTCTTGTTGTTATTTGTGAAGGCTGTTGATCAGAGCTTTCATCGGTTGTCGTAAAAGTTATCAGATTGTAAACTTCCTCGATCTACGTAAAAATCTTCCAATTGTAGCATTCATCTGTTAACGTGAAAGTTGTCTGATTGTAACTTTCATCGTTGGATTGGTGATGTGAAAGTCGTCAGTTTGTAACTTTCATTATTAGTGTTTGATGGGGATTAGCTATCTGCAGTAATTTTTAGACAGCTTACACAGAGTAATCCTGGTATGGAGCATTATAGGGCTGCTAAAAGAGTCATGAGATATCTGAAGGGAATCAAGGACTGCAGATTGACTTACTATCATACTGATCATTTGGAGTTGTCGGTTATTCAGATTCAAACTTTGCTGGATGCATAGATTCAAGAAAATCTACTTAGGGATATGTCTTCTTACTTGCTAGAGGTGCTATATCTTGGAAAAAGTACTAAGCAAATAATTGTTGCTTCATCTACCATGCAAGCAAAGTTTACTGCATGCTATGAAGCCATTACACAGACATTATGGTTGAGGAACTTTATCTCAGATCTCAAAGTCATTGATTCTATTGCAAGGCCTATGACAATCTATTGTGATAATTCAGTGGCTATTTTCTTCTCCAAAAATAATAAAAGTGAAGCCAAAGCAAGCATATCAACATAAAGTATCTTAGTGTTAGAGAGAATGTGAAACAAAGTATTGTATCCATACAACACATTAATACCCAGCTTATGCTTGCAGATCCAATGACTAAAAGACTGCCGACAAAACAATTCCTAAGTAATGTAGATCATATGGGATTCTTTTAGCTCGTTATGTGTTTATTTTTATCTATAGTCTTCTTTTTTTTTTTTTTGACATGTTTTGAATATTCTTGGAGAATAAAGTTTGATTGTGCACAAATAAAGTTTTCATATTTAAATTATATCCGTTAGGATAGTTAAAGTAGGACCCGAGTGACTTGTAGGAAGTCATTTATAAAGTTTGCTCATATAGTTTCTCATTTAATGAATTTATGCATTGTGATACATGGAAGGAAAAGCTCGCTATTACTAAGGGCTTGACCGCTATGATTCATGCATAAGTTTCTTTATTTGAGTGGGAGTTATCCACTACTAAATGGTATGAATTTTAATTATGATCATACTTTATGTTAATTATGAGGTACTTGTATCATGTGGACCAAGTGGGAGAATGTTGTATCCGGATAAAATTTTGGCCCACTCGATACAAATTATCTTAATTTGTTATGGTATTTAAATTCTTATCCTATGAGGAGTTATAGTGGATTTAGATAAGATCATATCTAGATAGTTTCACTGATGGATGGAAACTGTTTTTAAGAGGTCTTATCTTATAAGAATTCTAGTTATAACAGAAGGGTTCTAGCCTAGCATATAAATATAGTCATACTTCCTCCATCAGATTTAGGCTTTTTGGTAAGACATAGGCTAGAAACTCTTTCTATTTTTTTTATTTCATTCTAAAGGTGATCTAACTTTTGTTCTTTGTTTATGTATATACTCAGATTATCTCTAGTTTCGATCTAATTTTCTAAGTTACAGATCTATCTAGATAACAATGGCTGGAAGTATTTTTTTAATTTAATTTATTTTCGATGCGTGCTCTGTATTTATTTAGATTACAATTTCTCACAAAAACGAGTTGCAAGCTCAATTTCAATGTGTTCTTATTTTTTTTTTAAGAAAAGACTTGAACCTGTGCCATGTAATAAAAAAGTAGTTAATACTTAGATAGATGGGAAAACATAGAAATATAAAGATGAGAATAAAACAAGAAATTTGCATGAGGTCTTTTTCTTCAAGCAGCGTACGTGCATGTGATCAAGCCGCAACTTCACTAAACTTGACACGCTCATCCTTGTATATTTTTTTCATCCCTCCTCTATTAGTTTCGTTCTTATGTATAGGATTCTTAAGAAAAACCTTGAGGATGGAGTCTTCGTATTAGGATGTGAGAAAAATTATATCTGTCACGTGTCACTTGTGTACATAGACTTTGACAGGTAATTTTGAATTTTGAATCTACACGAGAGAAAAGTGCCGGGGTTCATAACTAATCAACGGATCCACACTTCTCTTATAATGTGGGAATAGTTTAGAAAAATATAGTATATATAATTAACATTATTCTTATTTTTGAAATATAGTTCACAGTTTGCTTTTCTCTTCTCATTCTCATTTTCTTAGCCAAGTGGGTCCAAATCAAACCAGAAGGAATCGAACCGAACGAAACCGAGCTCACTCGATCTATTCAGTTTAATTTGATTCCCAATTTAGGATGGTTCAGTTCTTTCGGGGCAAAATTTATTGAAGGATATATTCATTGAATGAGCTTCGCACATATCCCACAAGATCGACATTCTCTTGTTTTGGATCAAGACAAGGGCCGTTATATTAAAAGCAAAGTAAAGGCTCTTTCTGATGCAACGAGCGCGTAGTGACCCCATCACGTATGCATGCTTAGCGTGTGAATATGAAGCAAATAGTCCTAAGAAGAACTAACCACCTAAAGTTGCATAACACCCGGTAAAGAAATCCGATCGGCTAGAGCTACATGTACGTAATTGTTCCTTTGAAAGCAAGCCATTTAACTCAACCCTCTCCCTATAAAAGCCCTCAGCCTATATCTCACTCTCTCTCAAACTCGAATCAAAAATGGCCAAGGGCATTTTCTTGTTGGCTGTACTAGTAGTTATCCTAGCTTTCGCAACGGTAGAGAGCATCCCCTTCACCGAAAGGGACCTCTCATCGAAAGAAAGCCTGTGGGATTTGTACGAGAGGTGGAGGAGCCACCACACCGTGACGAGGGACCTCAATGAGAAGCACAGGAGGTTCAATGTTTTCAAGGAGAATGTCAAGTTTATCCATGAGTTCAACAAGAAGGATAAGCCGTATAAGTTGGGGCTCAACAGGTTTGGAGATATGACGAAAGATGAGTTTAGAAGAACTTTTGCGGGGTCTAGGATTAGTCACCATAGGATGCTCAGGGGAAATCCTCGTGGTGGTGGAGGATTCATGCATGGAAACACTGAGGGTCTCCCATCATCTGTGGACTGGAGGCAGATGGGTGCTGTTACTCCGGTTAAAGACCAAGGCCTTTGCGGTATGAGAAAATTTCTAAAAAAAAATTTAATAAAAAAGATTAATTCCGAGATAGACCCCTGAGTGATTTTTTTTTCGCTCTTTATGCCCCGGGATCTATTTATGAAAAACAAATTTCTCTTTCGCTGAGGGTAAAAGAGTCAAAGAAACTCACTCAGAGCTAGCTAGGGTCATACCATCTCAATTGGGATCGAGATAAGACAAGGGGTCTATCCGCAGTTAACCCTTAAAAAAAATAGAATAGCCATACCTGAGTACTGTGTAAATTTGAAATTTTTGTTGTTTTCTGTGCTTGGTCTTAAATATGTGTAGGGAGCTGCTGGGCATTCTCTACTGTTGTGGCCGTGGAGGGAATAAATCAGATAAAGACCGAGAAACTCGTCTCGCTATCAGAGCAAGAGCTTGTTGATTGCGACAAAGCCGACAACAATGCAGGTTGTGACGGAGGTCTAATGGACGTTGCATTTGAGTTCATCAGGAAAAATGGAGGTATAACAACCGAGGAAGACTATCCGTACATCGCCAAAGAACGGCAGTGTGATGCGAGAAAGGTTAGCCAAAAACTCAATCGTCACAATTAATTATTAGCATATATATACACTTTACATCTACTTCTACCAAAATCAAAGTTACATTGTTCAGTTTAATTACAAACAAAATCCACAGGAGAACTCCCATCATGTGGTCGTGATCGACGGACACGAGAACGTTCCTGCCAACGATGAAGAATCTCTAATGAAAGCAGTAGCAAACCAGCCTGTGTCAGTTTCCATAGAAGCAAGTGGCCAAGCCTTCCAGTTCTATTCAGAGGTTCATATATACTCTCCCTTCATTAATTGCTTCAATACCCTTAACATACGCCTATTGAATTTAATTAGATTCAGTTGCACATGTATAAACCTTGTCGATCGTACGTATCGTTGTTTTTTTACTTTCTATCCATGAGATTAAACCTTCTGAAGGTAAAATAGTCAAAAAAAATCGAACGATGATACTAGGGGCAAGTAATAGATTTATTGAACTTAATAAGCTAATTATAACTTAATAAATTTCTGCTGTGAACACTGTAGGGAGTTTTCACAGGCGACTGTGGCACAGAATTAGACCACGGAGTCGCTGCGGTTGGCTACGGAACGACGCGGGACGGTACCAAGTATTGGATCGTGAAGAACTCTTGGGGAGCAGACTGGGGCGAGAAAGGATACGTTAGGATGGAGAGGGGCGTGTCGGCGCCAGAGGGACTGTGCGGTATAGCGATGGATGCATCTTATCCGATCAAGAACTCTCCAAATCCTCCCCAGAAGAAGAAGAATGCATCACCCAAAGATGAACTCTGAGATGTTTCGGATTGGTTTAGGATGGCAATTTGAGATTAATTACTAGATTTCTTACGTCGTGTGTGTTATGTGTGGATATGGATAAATTTGTACTAGGTGAGAGGGTTTTATTAATAAACGAATTATATGTTTGGAACGTGCTACTAAAAGGAAATGACGTTACCGCTTAGGTTGGGTGGGTGGGTGGCCCAGACGGTTCGGAGGTTCCAATATGACTCTCAATAGTCTTGGGTTCAATTCCGAACTAGGTTATCAAATAAAAGAAAATGACATCGAATCCACGTATACGCAAGAATCAATCACAAAAAAGATTCTTCAAGCAGAGGAAATTTAGCCATTGTCACAATGATGTTTAAAAAATGAGAAAATAGATGCACAGTTCTGCATAAACAAAGACAATAAGATCCCCGGTTGTCATTTCCTCATATAGCCTCTCTAATAGTTTTTTTCTCTTTGTGCCTACTTTCTTTCTCACGAGAAGGACATACATCTTTGTTGCGGTTATTTTGGCATTATCCTAAAAAAAGTCTTTGGCCATTGAATCAAGTGATGATTTCAATACTCCGTCATTCCCGCCATCTCATGTCATGACAATCAGCTTTAAATGTGTCTTATTATCTTTTCCATGTATGAAAGTTGTGAGTTTGTTATGAGTCTTGATTTGTGCAACTGTAGTGTTTATCTTTATTGTTTTCACGTATCAGGTTGTCTCCTCAACAGGGTAATTTCTGCAAAATTCTAGAAGACGTACGTACCCCATAGACTAGTAGTAGTTTCTGTAAAAACAAAGGGAAGAAACATTTAGAGCTAGAAAAGAGGGAATTAAGAGCGTAGAAGCTTATATTGCGAAAGTGAGAAGACATCATGAATATGCTAACTTCATTGTGTCAGCTAAAGCTATAATATCACTGCTGGATTTCCAACTTTTAGCGACGGAAAAATCCGTCGCTATAAGTCGTTTTTCCGTCCCTAAAAGTTTTAGCGACGGAAAAAATAAATTTCCGTCGCTAAAACTTCGACGCTATAACAGGGGTGCCTAAAAAGACTTTTAGCGACGGAATTTCCGTCGCTATATTTTAGCGACGGTCTATTAGCGACGGTACAATGGTCGCTAATTTTAAAAAATAAAAAATTTAAAAACATTAGGGACGGAAATTCCGTCGCTATAAGTGGTATTAGCGACGGAACATCCGTCTCTAAAACTTATTAGGGACGGAAAATCCGTCCCTATTTGTTTTAAATATTGGCCAGATGTGATTTCGTGCATGTTTTCCGTCGCTAAAAAGTAAAAAAAAGAAATTTGGAAAATATTTTGAAAATTGAAAAAACCCTGTACAATATCGATAATAATTTTTAAAAACCTGTTCAATCAGCAGAAGAAAGCTTCAATCTTACGCAAATATCACATCTCACGCATATATCACACATTTAATTCAATAAAAGCAAGTAAAAGTTTCTCGACAGGTACATAATAAATATTGTTTATACAACACAAGAAATTGTTTTCAAAGTTATATTAAGGACAATCAATCCTCCTGATCATCATCATCATCCTCATCCTCAACACCAGCCACACGACACGGCTTCATGTTATGCGTGTCCGTGCTTCATAGACCACAACACCACAACACAACAACACTACACCATCACAACACAACACCACAACACCACAACACAACAACACTACACCATCACAACACAACACAACACTACACTGCACAACACATCACCACACATCACACCACAACACAACAACACCACCACAAATCCTCACCCTCACCCACCAACCAACAACACTCCCCCTCGTCCTACCCCTCCCCCTCAACCATCACCACAACAAAATCCCCACTCCTCATCTTCAACCACGATCAAAACCCCCACCCACCAACCAATCATACTCTACACACCCCCTCCCCCTCCATCACTACCATCACCACCATCAACACCCAATCCTCATTCCTCCCCCACCACGACAAAACCCCTCACAAACCAATCACATAACGACCACCACTACACAACACCACAACCAACCCACCAACCAATACCACCAACACTACGCACGCATACACCATCAACACCACCATCACATAAAAACATTATAAGTATATATTTTCAGGATTGTGTTAGGGTTAGAGTTTGGGTTTGTGTGTAACAGTTTGTATCAGTGTGTATCAGTATGTACGATATCATCTAATTAAAAAAAAGCAAAGTATATATATTACCTGTGACGACAAAAACCGTCTCCTATATGCCTCCAGAGCCTCCTGAGGCAGAGTCGACATGAATTGTGTGAACTCTAATACGGTCTGCTCCCGGCGCCTCCGTTCTTCCTCTAGAGCCCGCTGATATGTTGTTTGCTGCGACTGCCAATTGCTTTTAATCGCTGCTCCATCGAGTCTTGATATGAACTGCTTCTTGGTGTTCCTTGTGGTGCTGCAGACTCGTAGGTGCTACTAGACTCGTGCGGCCTCTGCTCGGATCCTCTCCACCGATATCTGTTAGACTCGTGCGACCTCTGCTCGGATCCTCTCCACCGATATCTGTTCTTCCTACTAGGTCCAATGACCGTCTCGATGATGGAGTCCTCATCCTCTCTACTTAGCCGAGCAGGAGCGTTAGAACAGACCTGAGACTGAGTCAATTGCTCCTATACCTTGGTATGTAATTTCTCCTGCGATATATCAAAACAACCCGGGCAAGTCGACTTAATAATGATGCATTGATATGAAATTGAATATATAAATGAACTGCTACTTACAGCCAGATCCTTATTCTTTGCTTTCTTCTCTTCATTGGCGTAATTCGGGCTCCAGGAAGTCAGAATACGATCTGCAAAATGTCTGAGATCTCCCCTTCCCTATTTTATTCAAATATATCATTAACTCATAACACATAAATTATACTCAACGTAAAAGCTAATATATTATATACCTCAAGCTCTAATTGATGATAATGCTGGCTGAATGTCCTGGAGCCCCCGTGATGCTCGTAACTGCGAGGCGCGTTGCGATTCCTCCTTGCTATTTCAGCTTGAGCCTGCAAAACAATGTCAATTCGAAACAATATAGAAATTCAAACAATAAATTAAAAATATATACTTCAATAATACCTGAATTTCATCCATGTCCCAGTAACTGCAAAGTGCAAAAAAATCTACTCCATCTTGTAGGTTGTCTAAAAATCACAATAGATAGCTTATCCCCCATCAACCACCGATGATGGAAGTTATAATCTGACGACTTCCAGAAGGCTGTAATCTGAAGACTTTCGCGTAGATCGCTGAAGGTTATAATCTGACGACCTTCACGACAACTGATGGAAGCTCTACTTCAACAGCCTTCACAATCAACATCGGGAGTTACAATCTGACGACTCTCATATTCTCAAGGAGCCAAGACGAAGATTACAAGACAATGATCTTTGCAACGCTATGACAAAAAGAGATTACTTGGTGATAATCTCTGCAAGGCAAGACGCGGAGGTCCTCCCCGCGTATCAACATCAAAACGCCGAGGTCGAACCCGCGTTACAACATCAAAACGCCAGGATCGAACCCCGCGTTACAACATCAAAACGCCGAGGTCGAACCCGTGTTACAACATCAAAACGCCAGGGTCGAACCCCGCGTTACAACATCAAAACGCCAAGGTCGAACCCGCGTTACAACATCAAAACGCCAGGGTCGAACCCCGCGTCACAACATCAAAAAACGCCAGGGTCGAACCCCGCGTCACTACATCAAAACGCTGGAGTCGGACCCGCGTTACTAAAAGCTAAACGTGAGCGACCCTCACGTTCGTAGGGGTCCAGCCAACACCGACCTCCGCGTTTCTAAGCTACAACAAACCAAAACGCGAGCGACCCTCACGTTCATCAATGTTCAGCCAACACCCAACTTCGCGTCTCAATTCTAAGAGGCAAAGTTGGGTTCTGAACGCCAGGTTGGGCGTTTTGACTTGTTCAAACACAAGCCGAACGGCCTCAAAACCGTTATCCCACGTTCTGAGGGATTTTCGCCCACACTTAGGAGCGGATTTAGAGGGCTTCATTGGCGTAATTCGGGCTCCAGGAAGTCAGAATACGATCTGCAAAATGTCTGAGATCTCCCCTTCCCTGTTTTATTCAAATATATCATTAACCTATAACACATAAATTATACTCAACGTAAAAGCTAATATATTATATACCTCAAGCTCTAATTGATGATAATGCTGGCTGAATGTCCTGGAGCCCCCGTGATGCTCGTAACTGCGAGGCGCGTTGCGATTCCTCCTTGCTATTTCAGCTTGAGCCTGCAAAACAATGTCAATTCGAAACAATATAGAAATTCAAACAATAAATTAAAAATATATACTTCAATAATACCTAAATTTCAGCCGTGTCCCAGTAACTGCAAAGTGCAAAAAAATCTACTCCATCCACACGCGTGTCAAGATGCCAGTATCGCTCCCAATCTTCTGTTATTTGGACAAAATATTTTTTCTTTACCTCAAACCGCCATCTCTTGAACGATACATTGATTTGCCCGAAGCAGTACGTCCATGCACAAATATTATCGTCAAGAAAGAAAAATCGCTTCAACATATAAAGAAAAAGTAGATACAAATCAGTTTATTAAACATAATAATAAACTAATAACTAATAATGATGAAAATTAAAATAAATGACTCACACATATATATCTCCAACAAGCCACCATCGTATCAATCCGCTGCGATTTTCACGTCAAAAATATGTTGAAGATATCGTGTCTCCTGGCTAAAGCGGTAAGGAAATTGTTGAAAGCATTGGCAAAGACCCCAACAGGCACTCCGTTTTCCCATCGGATCACAGCCCTCCGATTAATATCAGGGATGAGGTTCGATTCCTTAGTAGCATTGCGGCCGCGTCTAGGAGGTCGCTCGGTACCTGCGAAACAAAGAATCGAATGAAACAATGAATCAATCTATATTTGCGAAAAAAATTTAAAATAATAACCGATAAACTATAAAAATTCATTCACACCTTTCAGTTCGAGGCATCTACGCTTTGCTTCTTCGTACCTTTGCTGCGCGATGTGGCGTATATCATGATAATTATCCCAATCATCCCTCACCTTGGCCGGACCGTGGACT